GCCCTAAAGAGGTAAGGGATGATGATTTGAAAGGGGAGTGGGTTGCTAAACACTAAAAAGAGAACTCAATTTTTTAAAAGGGCTCTAAAGATACATAAATGGCCAATAGCACAAAAAAAGACACTGAATACCATTAGCCATCAGGGAAATGCAAATCAAAATCACAATGAAGTGCCACTTCACACTAGGATAGCTGTAATCAAAAGATAAGTGTTGGTGACACTGGAACCCTCATACACTACTGGTGGGAATGCAAAATGGTATAACTGCTTTGGATAATAACAGTGGCAGTTCCTCAAAAGGTTAAACATTTTCCATATGGTCCAGCAATTCTACTTTTAAATATATGTCAAAGAAAAATGAAGACATTTTTGGTTCTTTGGTTCCCTCAAAAACTTGTACACAAATGTACAAGATTGTTCACAGATGCCAAAAAGTGGACACAATACAAATATCCATAAACTGATAAGTGGATAAATAAAATGTGGTATGTCCATACAATGAAATATTATTCATTACGAAAAGGAACATGAAAAGGAACAAAGTACTGATACAAACCAAAGCATGGAATAAACTCAAAAACATAGTGAAAAGAAATAAAAGAAGCCAGTCACAAAGACTACATAATTGTGTGATTGCATTTATATGAAATGTGCAGAATGGACAAATGCATTGACAAAAAAGTAAGTGGTCCCCAGTAGTTGAGGGGAAGGGGATGTGGGGAGTAACTGCTAATGAGTATGGGGTTTCTTTTGGGGGTCAGTCCTTGTCAATTCAGTTGACACGCAGTGATAAAAAGCCCTTCAAGAGGAAAAAAAAGAACATCAATTTTGGATCAAAATACCGAAGTATCATGGGATTCACTTAGAAAACAACACAAACCAGGATGCAAAAAAGGTAGATTTCTTTAGGTATATTATTTTTTTTCATATTAGGCAAAGTAGGTTTTATTTCTTTCTTTTTATTTATTTATTTACTTAGTCTTTAGGTATATAATTTCTTAAAAAGTAATACAATTATATTATTTACAGTATTTAAAATTCTAGAGCTTCAGAAACATCTTTGGTTTGATACATAAACACTATATACTTCACTCAGTTTTTTTAAGGGCCAGCTTTGTTTCTAAATAATTGTATCTCTGGATACACCATTCTTTCAAACTATTGCACAGGGGAAATGAAGATTATATGCAATACTTTGAAAAGTATGTATATTGGTCATCCAGTGTAAAGCAACCAACTAAATAAATAAAGCCTTAAAACAATTCCCTACTGAACTGATTTCAATTATAGAACACAAATGGGAGATGAAGTCAGCAAAAATGCAAACTACAGATAATTCAACATGGTAAGGAGATATACTTCAGCAGCGCTTAAGATAACATCACTAAAGTGAGTTACTGGGCAAAATGGATTGCATTGTATAAACCCTTTGACATACAATCAACACAAAATGAACAGAAGATGGAGATGATTCAAATTGTCTGATGAAGTTTCTCAAGGAAATTGAAAATTGTGAGTAAAATAGTGACAATATGAACATGGATTTTGATGATGTCAGCAGAATGAACCCAGATATTATTTCTAGTTATATTGAGGGTGGCAGTCAACTGAGCTAAAAGATTTAGCATTTTTAAGGCCTACAATTTAAAGATTATTATACAGAATGCTAATTTTAGTACCTGGCTTTAATATGATTCAATATCCTGTGAAGATGGCCAACTTATAAAATTAAAGTTTATCTTGAATTTAGGGCTTCTTTTCAAAACCTATTTTATAATCAGAGTTTAGCCTTTTTATTTTATTTTTAAAGAGGGGAAGGGAGGGAGAAAGAGAGGGAGAAAAACATCAATGTATGGGTGCCTATCAAGCACCCACTACTGGGGACCTCACCAGCAACCCAGGCATGTGCCCTGACTGGGAATCAAACTAGCGACTGTTTAGTTCCCAGGCCAGCACTCAATCTACTGAGCCACACCAGCCAGGTCTTAGTGTTTTTTTTTTTTTAATGATTATAACTTGGTAAGGTAGAGTTAGCCACAGCCATCTGTTTTTCAGGAATTAGTATTTAAGCATTCTTGCCATCTGTCGCTACTCTGTATTTAAATTGGGATTTTCAAAGTGGTGGGTAATAGTGGAACAGGGCTAAAGTATTCAAAAGCCAAACTAGTAAGCAAATTCAAATTCATTCTCTGAAATCACTGAAGTAGAACCACGTTTTTAAAATTTCTTCCTTCCGTCTTTCTCTTAGTTTTCTATTCTTTCAAGTTCACTTACATTCCAGGGGTTTGGTTTTTTGTTTTTGTAACCTTGTTTCTTCCCAAATCTTTTCAAAAGAAGCAATGAGACTGACCTTTCTAACTTGACACAAGTTTGTAAAAATAAGTAGGAATTGCTGAAGATGAGCTCTCTAGAAAAAAAAAAGGTTGTATAATCCATTGTGAATAATCTAGTTCATCACTGCAACAATATGATTGGACTAAATTTTAAGATGCATTGGTAGAGAGCTATCACCCCACATCCACTTCAATAGCTAGAATTTAAAAAATGTACAATAAGTTGGTGAGGATATGGAGAAATTGAAACTCATACATTGCTGGTGGGAAATGTAAACTGGTGTGGCCACCCTGGAAAATATTTTGGAAGTTTCTCAAAAAGTTAATCACATTTACCATATGGCTCAGCAATCATTCTTAGGGATATGACTGAAAGAATTAAAAACACACCCAAGCAAAACTTGTACACAAATGTTCATAGCAACATTATTCACAAAAGCCAAAAGGTGGAAACAATCCAGATGTCCATTTGGATAAACAAAATATAGTATGACCATACAATGCAATACTATTCAGCCATACAAAGGAATGAAGTACTGATACAACATCAAGCCTTAAAAACATTGTGCTAAGTAAAAGGAGCCAGACACAAAAGGTCACATATTACATGATTCCATTTATATGAAATATCCAGAATAGGGAAATCCACTGAGGCAAAAAGGAGATTAGTAGTTGTCAAGGGCTGGATGGGAGGGAATGAGGGAGAGACTGCTTAATCCATAAGGGGTTTCCTTTGAGGTGATGAAAATGTTTTTGAACTAGAGATCATGGTTGCACACCATGAATGTACTAAATACAATGGAATCACACACTTTAAAATGGTTAGTTTTATGTGCATTTCACTTCAGTTTAAAAAATGCTTTGGTATTGTCATCTCAGAATGTAGAATTGGTATTCTAAAGTTAGTACTACAAAAATCACTCAAATTAATACAACTCCAATACTTTGTTAGTTAAAAGCATGGACTTTCTCATAAAGTGGACCACTTTATGAATTGCAGTATTAACCACAATAGTTTAACAAGCTCTTAAGAGTTGTTTCCTCTCCCAAAATGAAATCTAGATAGCATTTCCCCCTAGTACTATATTGAGCAAAATATTAAAAACTTCAAAACAAAATGTTTTTGAATTATGATAATCAGCATCAATATTTTTTAGAGGGGAGATTTTCGCTACTGAGTTGTCATGTGGGTTTTGTGATAAACTAGCAGTGCAAACTTTTACCCTACATTATATATATGGGTTTTTGTTTTTGTCTCAAAACTTTGCAGGGAACCTCTGCCTAAATTTCATAACTGGTGAAGATGAAATCTAAAGGTGTCAGTTCCGACCAGGAAGATCTTCCCACAGTAGTATTCTTTGGATCCTGACTTCCTTATATTATGTTCCTCAGAGATCTACCTCTAGAATGAAACCACCACATTCCGAGGATAAGGCCTTAATTCTCTCAGATGTCATTACCCAGTGAAATTCTTGGAAATTTGAAACAACTGATGTTAGTATTCAGAATTTTAAAGAACATTACATTATAGCCAGAAATGATGTGTTTGCTAATGAATTATGAACTACCAGTATATACGTCTAGTGGGCAAGTGTGCAAAAGTTCAATGAACAGGAAAATGTGTTCTATAAATTCTTAGTATTTATAATCATTATAAAATTTTAAAATGTTAATTCCTACAGCAAAGAACTAATGACATTTTAAAAAGTGGCTCACCATTGAGTTGACAGACTTTCCATATTTTATGAAAATTAAATGTACTAAAAATCCAAAAGTAATTTAAAAATTAATTATAAAGGTGGCTTAAACACAAATATTTCTGAACTATGCTTTATTCTGACTTGATCACAAGAAAACTTTGGTATGCCATTTATTCAGCTATCTAGTGTTCCTTGCTTTTCTACTCCAATCATACTGACATATCTGTTCATTGAAGATTTAACCAGAGTATGTGGCACTTCATAATCCTCAATATTCAAATACTTTGAAATGCTTGCAGACAATCTGATTACAGTTTAGTCAGAAAAAAAAAATTAAAGATTCTATACGTGGAATTTTTGATAAGTGCCTAGAGTTTTTCTGACCATAGTTCAATTTAGCTGGCTATGCTATTAACACAGAACCTGTATGTTTTCCTCATGGGCATGAGTATATGTCATGTTACAATTTGTTTTTCAAAGTGCTTAACTTTTTGCTTAGAAGCTTTTTGTTTTCTCTCAAGTTTTTGTAAGAGCCCTGTTAACATGTTTATTTGAAAGCAGACAAAAACAAAATTTTAAAAAGAAAAATATTTTTGCAAAAGAATCAAATTCTGGCTTTAATATTTACATATTTATAAACTGATGTTAAAATGCTCTAAAATGTTAGTTAGGAAAGCACAATTCAGTAACATCAATTTTTCATTTATAGCTTTTTCTAAAGATCCCAAGGAAATGCCACCTTAATTTTCCCCTCAAGGACATTTGAATACTTCAAGGTTCAATCTGAAGCACATGTAAAACCCTCTCGTTCTCAAACATAATAAACTAAGAGTTAACAATACACTGGATGGTGAGCAGAATATTAAAGTACAGGCTACTTTATCAAAAGAGTTAAGTTCTTATGGTGTTCGGTTTAGAGGTGAAAGAATGGAACAAAGGCTCTCACAACTGTGGAAAATCAGAGCTCTTCTTCAATTATATGGCCTTTTAATATCTAAGCTAAAAATTAAAAGCAGAAATGAGATAACATTACAGTTTTCCCGAACATTAAAAAAGCAATAGCTAAAGCATTATAAGTTAAATATGGTGATAAATGAGATAGAAAGCTTGGTTACCACTCTAGGTTAAACACTAAGCAGTAAAACTAATATCTAATTTTAAAATGATTGGCTTCATATTTAAAAAAACTTTTTCAGTATATAACTTATATATACAATGTTTCCTTGTAACTCAAACTATAATGCTGAAGCTTACAAAAGGAATAGTTTATTTCTGAGATGCTCAAAAGCCCCACGACTCCCCTTTCTATTTATAAACCAGCAATTTTAAAAGTACATCCAGCACAGAAAGCCTCAATAGTTCACTCAAAATTTAGAGCCCACATCAGTAGACAGTTTCTCATAAATCACATGGTCAAATTCCATGTTAATTTATGAACACTTTTCATGGGCAAGAGTAAAGATAAAGGGATCAAATTGACTTTGTTGTTTATTCACTCTGAATACTAAATTGTGCTTACATCCTAAAAGTTAAAATGAAGTAAGAAAGAGAATCTGAGTATGTTCATTTGTAACATACACTGACAACTAAAATCCTAAGAATAAAAATGTTCATTGAAAAATGGAAGATGAGAAGCAATAGCAATCAGTGATAGTGTATTTTAATCCTCTGTTAAAGCTCTAAACTGAGGTAGAGGTAAACACTAATGTTACTCCTTCCGTGTTTTGGAACTTAGGCCTCTCACCTGGACTTGTATACATTTTACCCCTAATTATACAAACATGATTCAATTCTAAATGTTATGATAGAAAAATTACAGCATCACTCAAATGGTTTTTTACAAAATTCTTAATTACTAGACTAAAAAAAAAAGTACTTATAAAATGTGCACAATAATTCAATGTTCCCTGCCAGTAGTAATTATATTTGTTTTTCTTCCAAGTGTAGGCAAAAAAGGGTACAGAAACCATATAATGCAAAGATTATGAATAGTCATGTAATGAAGAACATAACCAGAAGGGTAAGAACTAAGAAGTTAGTGTGTAATTTTCCTCTTTGAAGGTTATACACAAATTTTAATTTATATTTAATTTCCCTTACTAAAACAGACTTAAATTCCATTAAACACAAATCTACTTCCATTTTAAATCACATACAAGTGCTATGTGATCAGAGGGATGGGAAACACTAGGTAAGGCCTGGTGGGTGGTAACTTCTTCGTGACTAGGTAGTGGAATCACCTGTTCAACCTCTAAAGCATTTAAGTCAATGAAAATGTAATCCAGACATCCATGAAAGCCACCAACATAATTTGTGTAAGCAGGTTCACCGCAAGCACTTTTCAGTTTCAGAAAATGGGTAACAGACATGTTGCATCGTTCCTCTTCCCCATTGGAAGCCCAGTCTTCATGATCCTCTGGAATGGTGCCATTGATAACAAAATGATACATTCCTGTTGACGGGGTACTATTAAAGTCCCCACAAAATATAACTGGTATGCCAGGATACAGATCACATGAGACACGTCTAATGTGAGCCAAGGCCACTGCCATTTGAATGAGACGAATGTACCCACCTATGAATATAAAAAACACCAATATAAGTACTTTTTAAAGTTGCCTTTAAGTTAAAAAAGAAAGAAACTCACAAACCACAGCATCTGGGTGACACTGAAGATGTATATTTACGTGTGGGTGGGGGATTAGATGAAGGTGGTCAAAAGGTACAAACCTCCAGTTATAAGATAAATACAACATGAACACTATAGTTAACACTGATGTATGTATAGGATAGTTGGAAGGTGCTAAGAAAGCAAAACCTGAAAATTCTCATCACAAGAAAAAAAACACATTTTTTTTGTATCTAAGTTTGTTGTGGTAATCATTTTGCAACATATGTAAGTCATGCTGTGCACCTTAAACTTGTATAATGCTGTATGTCAATTATCGCAATAAAACGGAAAAAATATATATTCATGTAAAATAGCTTAATTGACTTTAAGTTACCATGTGTAAATTGCATGTGAAAACCAATAAAACCTACCTTTGGGATGCCAGTAGAGATGGGTATTTGCGACACATATCTTTTTAGAAGAGTCCTTTGTAGACTGAAGAACAGAAATCTAAAACACAGAAAGTGCCAAGACTTCAGTTGCTATCTCCCAATCTTCTGAATTTTTTTATCTAAGACTATATGAAGTAACATTTTACTGTATATCCTTCCCATACTGATGAACTATGATCATAATTATGAAGTTTAACTTTTGTTAAAAGTTTTTGAATACAGAAGTGCCCCCTTATCCAGGGGAGGATATGTTCTAAGATCCTCAGTGGATGCCTGAAACCTAACCCTATATATGAAGTCTGTCCAGAAGTCTAGCTATTGTTAATATACCAAGAATGGTTTGTGTAACATCAATGTAGACTAGCAGCCAAGGAGAGTGGACTGGAAAGCACATGTGTGAATAATGACTTCGCTGTACTAGACAGTGGGGGAGGTAGGTACCGTTGAGTGAGCTTGTGTACTGTGTGGCCATTGCATTCAAAATGACTGAGTAGAGCAACGAATCTGCAACAAATTTTGCATTAAGCTTGAACATTCTTCTACAGAAACTACTGGGATGATTCAGAAGGCTGCAGCTGTGGATAACTGGTGACTGGCAGCTTTATCACGACAATGTGCTCATTTATGTATTACAACTCATGCAGAGATTTTTGGTGAAACGTCAAATCACCCAGGTGGCCCAGCCTCCTCCAGCCCAGATTTGGCACACTCTGACTTCTAGCTTTTCCCAAAACTAAAATCACTTTTGAGAGGAAAGAGATTTCAGATTGTCCAGGAGATTCAGAAAAATACAACGGGGCACATGATGGCAACTGGGAGAACTGTGTGAGGTCCCCAGGTACCTACTCTGAAGGGGACTGAGATGTCATTGTCCTATGTACAATGTTTCTTGTATCTTAATAAATATCTCTACTTTTCACATTATATGTCTAAATACCTTCTGGACAGACCTTGTATACACTATGTTTTTTCCTATATGCATATACCTATGATAAAGTTTAAATTATAAATTAGGCAAGGTAAGACATTAATAAAACAAAACAATTATAACACTGCATATATTATAATAAAAGTAATGTGAATAATGGTATATCTCTCTCTCTCTCTCTCTCAAAATACTAGATTGTACTCACCCTACCTGAGGAAATGAAGTGAGGTGAAGATGAAGGCATTGTGACAGTGTTAGTCTACTATAAGGGTTACTTGAACACAAGCACTGACACCATGACAATTCATCTGACAATCCATCTGTCTTGGGCAAGACAGCTACCAAGTGACTAATGGATAGATGGCCTATACTGCATGGATATGCTGGGCAAAGGGATGATTCAAGTCCCAAGCTGGATAGTACAGGAAGGCATGAGATTCATCATACTATTTAGAGCAGCAGGCAATTTATTAATAATATGTATAAATTATTTCTGAAATTTTTCATGTTATATTTTCAGAGTGCAGGAAACTGAAACCATGGCTACAAGGGACTACTATATAATAGCACAAAGGGTAACATGCTTTAGTAACAACCCAGCATATACAGGTGGTATAGAAAGAATATACTTGGGATGACAATGCCAAGGTTGGAGATAGTGCAAGCTTTGGAGTGAGGGAGACCCAGGTCTGAATACCCACTCTACCATTTACAGAAATGTGATCTGGAAAGAGACACTTTTTTTCCTAAACCAGCTTTGTCATTGGTTTAGAGAAAAAAAGAGACCATTATTTCCCTTCAAGTGGGACCATAGTGTGGAGTCAATGAAATGAGCTTACATGGAAGTTCCTGAAACACAGTAGGTGCTGAAAAAAAAAAAAGTAGCTACTCATCTTAATTTGCGCAAAACGAATTACCTAAAAACTCTGCACAAACACAAAATAAACATGTTTTTAAGAAACTAAGTTAGCCTGCCCTGGCCAGGTAGCAAAGTTGGTTAGAGCACCATCCTGACTCACCCAGGTTGCCAATCCCTAGTCAGGGCACATACAACAACTAATGAATGCATAAACAAGTGGAACAATAAATGAATGTGTCTCTCTCTCTCTCTCTCTGCTCCCTCTTCCTATCTCTCTAAAAGTCAGTCAAAAAAATTAACATAGCTTAAGCCAAGCAGTAGTTAATACCCTACCCAGTGATAATGGAATATATAATTAACTATAAGAATCCTAGTTCCACACTTGTGTGAACTTGAGTATGTAAATTTGCCCACCTCCCCACTTATAAAATGGGAATAATAACAGTTCAGTAAGTATCTGGTAAACGAATGAAGGCTAACCTTTGAGTTGAAGATACAACAGCAAACACCTTTCAATAAAATCTCGATGGTTTCATCTCAATTATAAGCAGCCCCACACCCTATTCCCTTTCCAGGGCCCTAAAAATGGATGAGTATGTAAAGAGACTGATGAAGCTACTTTACCTGAAGGACAGAAGATCTCTGGAGCACCCTCTCCCGTGCCGATGGATACAAAACTAACTTCTCCAGCAGTTCTTTGTGAAGTGGGTCGGACTCCAGGGCTTCATGAAAAGAAATATCATGCTGGGTAAGGAGGCTGAACTTGGACTTTCGGTAGAAAGTAGCCAGGCCTTCCTGCTGCTTGATTCGAAATACGCCCTCCAGCCCAAAGGCCTCGAGAGCCGGGACCAAACTGTCTGTAAACACGCTGCGGTCAACCTCTTGCAAACAGATGAGATCGGCGTTGTACCCGGTGAGTTCTTTCTGGATAAGATTCTGGCGGTAGTCGAGCTCCAGGGCGTAGGGGGCACAGTATGGATAAAGGACGGTCCGCGAAAACTCAGTTTGGGCGTAAGTGTCAGCGAGGATGTTGTAGGAGACAGTGCGGATGAGAGCGTCGTCTGTCACCTTCTTAGTATAGAGATGTCGGTGATCAAAGGTGCAAGTGCCGGGCCCGGCCTCCACGGGACACACACTTTCCAACTCCCGGCTTGGCCCGAAGCGCTGCCCACTGCCTGGGGTGCAATGAAGCTTGAGCCGTAGCCCGATGTCTGCATTGGACGGGGTGTAGACGCGCTGGTCCACACCCGTTTCCGTCCAAATAGGAGAGGGCGAGGAGGGAGACAATGATGAGGGTCCCCCGTCTTCAGGCTCCGCTGACCCAGGTTTGGCTTCCCTGTACCAGCGGAAGAGGGAGCAGGCGGGATCCCCAAATTCAAGGCTGAGCTTGGGGCAAACCGGGAAGCCAGCCATGATATAGCGTGGCAACTGCAGCTCGGTGAAGGCGGGGGGGTTGCGCTCCACCTTGTACTTGACATCGCCGATCTGCAGCACAGCACCATCCTGCCAGGCGTCCACATTGAGCACGTCTTCAGCCACTGCCTCTTCCCGGTAATACAGCTTCACCACGGGCTCGCAGGCCGCAGCCGGCTCGGGTCCAGGCCCGGGACAGGCCACGCCGCTGCTAGCGTTTGGCCGGTTCTTCCTGCTCTTTTTGGCGGCAGCCGCTTTAGCGTGGCCTTTGAGGGCGTTGGTGGCAATCCGGCTGAGGGCTCGACCCAGCGGCTCACTTTGGTCGCGCTGCATGTTCTTGTGGCTGCCGTCGGCCAGGGCGAACGACAGGCTTAGTTTAGGCTCGGAGGGCACACAGCGCACTACAGCGCGCTCCATCTCGCCTGCAGCCGTCTCAGTTGCCGTCTCGGCCCGACAGTGCCGCTCCACGGCCGCGCGGACCCCACGAAGAGCGGCGCGGGCACCTGGGAGCCTCCACATGGACGTGGTGGCCCAGCGGCCAATGGGTTAGGCAGCTGCTAAGCTTCAGGTGGAAACTGAGTAGGTGCAGCTACCGGCTCTGGGACCCATTCAGTCCTGCAACTTCCGGCCGGCGAGGAAAGGGCTGAGATGCTTAAGTCAGGCACTTTCGCCAGGCCCGCTCACATGCTCTTTTTGTAGCCAGGTACGTCTAATAACTCCAAGATTAACTTTTATCTTCAACTTGAGTCATAATAAGGAGGAGATGGAAAAATATAGAGGTTCTAGAGTGAAATATTAAACTCCATGATTTTACCGAAAGTGCAGTTAGAGGATGAAAGGGAAGGTGCGCCAAACCGGAAGTGGCTGGGTGGTGTAACTGAGTCTGTTTCACTGAAGGAGGCGGTCCCTCGCTAGGACTGGAACCGCCTACCCGCTCTTCGCAAGGTACTGGGGCTGAACTGCGCGAGAGCGCCCAGCGCTGAGGACTCCACCCAGGTTGTCACCCCGGCTCTGGGCCTGAAAAGTGTTGCTCAATTACTCTGTACAGCGTTTCCCACGCTGCTCGCCCTCTTTCGGGGTGTGGCGGGTTTGCCTCAGGCCGAGCAAGCGCGGACACGCGGAGCTGAGCCTCTGTGGTAGTTAGTAACAAACGAACAATACACAGTAACTATTTAGTTAGCGACGACTATGCTAAAAATGTCTTTTACAGATGTGAGACCCAGAGAGGTTATTTTACTTGTTCAAGGTTACACAGACAATGCAGAGTGAATGACAGGAGATCGAGAATAGCCAATAAGAAGAAATAAGTGTAGGAAAGCCAAAGGAACAAAATATTTCAAGAACCAGTGATTTTGTGTTTAATATAATTAATATTCTGTGATTAATTAAAGGGGAAAAAAGCCCTTGGAGATTCAAAGAACAAATCGTGAAGTCGCTTCTCTGGTCAAATGATGTATTTGTATATACTACCTTTTTCTACAAGTAAAATGTTAATTGGGTATCTAATAATAAGCTATACCTTTCTCCCTGGTTTACCATGAGGAAAATAAGCCTTTTAAATTGTACTGTAAAAGAAGGATGAATTTTTCAGTCACTCGAAATTTCTATTCCTGTCCTCCCCTGCCCATACCCCCAAGCATTTAACAGGTGGTTGGACACTGATGATACATGTAGTCCAAGGTTACAATATAGGGATAAAAGCCAATATGTTACATCAACTGACTGGCCTAAGGAAGGAAGAAAGTAAGTTTTAGTACTCTAGTTTATAGTACCTACATGTAGCAATATAAATTTAAAAATGGCATTTTTCTTATCCTCATTATTTTTCTTTATGCAACTTTAAAGAACTCAATATTAAATTAACTTAAAGATAAAGCCCTATTAGAAAATGTGACTTTCCTCATATGTGATTTAACTTAACCCTATAGAAGAGTTGTAATCTTGGTTTTGAGACAGACACCTTGAAGCAACATACTTACTTCTTTCAGAGGTCTGTGGGGGGGGGTTGTATTTTTGAAAGATTAAAATATATCTATAGTGAAAAAAGTAATCCTTCTATGCCTGACTCGTATGCATATTCAATACAGGGTTTGGCACAAATAACGCCCCCCATTTTTATTACAAAATCATTTATTACAAAATCATATGCATTCTGTAACATAACAATAAAACATTCAAGCACACCATATGACATTTTAGGTGAAGTGTTCAAATTAAACCTATAAATTAATACACTCATATTATTACACTACCAACCATACTCAAGCAGGCCTTACTTCTGCTGGACACTGTATTTATGAGTATATACCCTTCCACTTTTTTACACAAATAACATTATAGCATACTTATGGTTCAGTACCTTTCCATTTTCATTATCTTTTGTCAGTTCTTTCAAGAGAAAATCTCTGAAATGTTCTGAAAGTGCCACAACTTCCCATAGAAAGATTAATTTAATTTGAACTCAACAGATGTGAAGATAATACACAATAAATGATATATTTGAAGCTATATATTCATGAGAAGTTATAGCATATTATATACGTAATATAAATTATATAATTAAAACTTGAGATTGAAAGGCCAAACCAATACTATGCTCTGATACCAAAAGGAGAAGGGGCTAATAGAAATCTGTTTATTCATGTATTCTCAATCCATATGAAGAAACACAAGCTAACTTTTTACTAAGCAAAAGTTAGGGTTGATGGAGTTATTCTTGTTACTTACACATTATTTGTAAAGATTAGTGTGTGAAGACTGGTTTCTTGTGATTACCTTCACTTTGGTTAATAACATCAGTTAACATCATAGGTCATTAATATACCTCTATCTCTTATGGTAGAAGAGATAGAGGTATCGCTTCTATTGGTAGAAGCCATGTAGCATCACTATTAGAGAAGACAACAGCTGGTAGAGGGGTTCAAAAATGCAGAGCAGTAAAACCTTTAATTTGGAGAAGCAAAACCATGTTCCAAGGAAGCATCACCAGCATCACCACTAGCAGCACGAACAGCACCAACAGCAGTTGCAGCAGATGCCCTGCCACCATCAACATCTGCAAATGGGCAACAAGCCAGCAGACAAAATGAAGGTTTGACTATTGACCAGAAGATTTTTAGGAAACCAGGAGAAAAGACCTTTACCCAATGTACCCAGGTCTTTGTGGGCAACCTTCCATCTGACATCACAAAGGAGGAAAAGAGTAAACTATTTGACAAATATGGGAAGGCAGATGAAGTCTTTATTCATAAGGATAAGAGCTTTGGCTTTATCCACTTGGAAACAAGAACTGTAGTGGAGATTGCCAAAGTGGAGCTGGACAACATGCCACTCCATGGAAAGCAGCTACGTGTGCACTTTGCCTGCCATAGTGCATCCCTTAGAGTTTGAAACCTTCAGTATGTGTCCAACAAACTTCTGGAAGAAGCCTTGTCTGTGTCCACCCAGGTGGAGAGGGATGTAGTCATTGTGGATGTTTGAGGAAGGCCCTCAGGAAAAGGCATTGTTGAATTCCCAGGGAAGCCAGCTGCTCGGAAAGCTCTGGGCGGATACAGTGAAGGCTCCTTCCTGCTAAGTACATTTCCTTGGCCTGTGACTGTGGAGCCCATGAATCAGTTAGATGATGAAGAGGAACTTCCAGAGAAGCTGGTTATAAAGCACTAGGAGTGGGAGCAGCCACCTAGATTTGCATAGCCTGGCTCCTTTGAGTATGAGTAAGCCAAGTGCTGGAAAGTACTAATGAGATGGATAAACAGCAGCAGAACCAAATGGACCACAACACCGAGGAAGCAGATAGAGATGGAGGCTGCTCACCATGAGCACCAGGTTGTGCTGATGAGGTGTGAGGAAGAACTTTGAAGGATGGAATTGCTACACAAGCAAGAAGTGCGAAAATCAAAGCAACTGGAGCTCAGGCAGGAGGAGGAGCGCCTGTGCTGTGAGGAGGAGATGCAGCAACAGCAGAAAGGGTTCAAGGAATCTTTCCTGATGCAAGACAGCAGGAGGTATGGATGGGCCAGGTGGCTACTATGAGAGGTGCTATGGTCTATACAACGGAGGTGCCATGACCCTTGCTTCTGTGCCTGTTGGTACCCTAGCTCTTCCAGGACCTGCCGCTATGATGCCAGACGGAACCTTGGTATTGACCCCACCAACTGCTAAACACTTTGGCCAAGCTGCTGCAATGGAAGGAATAGGGGGAATTGGTGGAACCCCTCCTGCATCTAACCATGCAGCTCCTGGAGCTGAATTTGCTCCAAACAGATGTTACTGATACTAATAAAATTGCATTGTCTAGTTTCCTAAAATCCTTAAGACAAAGACCCTTTTTGGACTAGCTAGAATTCTACCCTGGAAAGGTGTTAGGGGTTCCTACCAATAGTTAGGTCCTCCCTACCTGTACTACTTCTCTAGGGAGTATGCTGCAGGCAGAGGGCAAGGGAGGGGCAATATTTAACAAGTCAATTCTGTTGTATATCGTTTAATACATCTGTGTGGTGCATTCCTGAAGTCTTGGATTATTAAGGGCCTGGGAGGGAGGGAACAATGGCAAAGTGGATCCAGTTAGAGACCCCATTAATCTTGATCATTCCATTCTTTGTTTTATCCTGTTCTATTTGCTTTCTTATTCCCCAGAGACACTGCCACATATATCACAAAACCCACAAGCATCTCCCATTGAACTTACCCTCATCACTCCATCCATTCACACTCAGGTAGGATTTCAGGCAGTTGTCTGCAGAGGTCACAGATAACATACATATGGTTCTATTATATCCCATGTATTATCCCTTCATATCCTCATGAGACATTTTCTGTTAGAGATTGTGATTTTAGTATATCTAAAAAAACTTTTTTTATTAATTTCCCTCCATCTTCTTCTTGGAAAAGAACAACCAAAGAATGGCCCTTTTGTGTCTGATGTTGCTATTCAGTTTTTCTTTTTAAAAAAATATATTTTATTGATTATGCCATTACAGTTGTCCCATTCTCCCCCTTCATTCCCCTTCACCCTCCACACCCCCGTCCCCCACCATTCCCCCCTTTTAGTTTATGTCCATGTGTCACAAGTTCTTTAGATTCTGTATTTCCCATACTATTCTTGCCCTCCCCCTGTCTATTTTCTACCTTCCATCTATTCTACTTATTCTCTGTACCTTCTCCCCCCTTCTCCTTCTCCCACTGCCCTGTTGCTAACCCTCCATGTGATCTTCATTTCTATGGTTCCCCTCCTGATCTAGCTGTCCTCTTAGTTTGCTTTTGTTTTAGGTGTGGTTGTTAATAACTGTGAGTTTGCTGTCCTTTCACTGTTCACATTTTTTTATCTTCTTTTTCTTATTTTTTATCTTCTTTTTCTTAGATAAGTCCCTTTAACATTTCATATAATAAGGGCTTAGTGATGATGAATTCCTTCAATTTGACCTTATCTGAGAAGCATTTATCTGCCCTCCCATTCTAAATGAAAGCTTTGCTGGATAGTGCAATCTTGGATGTAGGTCTTTGGATTTCATGACTTGGAATACTTCTTTCCAGCCCCTTCTTGTCTGTAAGGTCTCTTGAGAAATCCACTGACAGTCTGATGGGCATTCCTTTGTAGGTGACTGTCCCCTTTTCTCTTGCT